CCTGTGCCAGCGTTCCAACAGGCTTCCCGCCCTAGTCGAGAGCCGCCCGCCTGGGGCTAGCCCGTCGTCTGCCCAGTCCCGCCGGGAAAGCTCAGGGGTGCCACTCAGACTGGGGGGAGGGGCGACCTGCATACTATGATGGGGGGTAGACAGGATAGCAGCTTCAGCAGTGTTCCTGAGCATGCTCAGTACGAGCCAAGCGGCACATTGGGGGGGAGCTATTCCATTCGACCCCTCCACACACACATATCACCTTTCTAAGGCTGCTAAGGCACTGGAATCAGAGAAAAGATTAATAGAATCCTAGAACACGAGAACTGGAAGGGACCACGGGAGGTCGAGTCCAGTCCCTGCCCCATGGCAGGACCCAGCACCGTCTAGACCATCCCTGACAGGTGTTGTCCAACCTGCTCTTAAACATCTCCAGGGGTGGAGATCCCACAGCCCCCCCAGGCAATTGATTCCAGTGTTTAGCCACTCGGACAGGCAGGAATTTTTTCCTAATGTCCAACCTAAACCTCCCCTGCTGCAGTTTAAACCCCTCGCTTCTTGTCCTGTCCTCAGAGGCCAAGGAGAACAATTTTTATCCCTCTTCCTTGTGACACCCTTTTAGATACTTGAAACCTGCTGTCATGTTCCCTCTCAGTCTTCTCCTTTCCAAATTAAACAAGCCCAACTCCTTCAGCCTTCCCTCATCGCTCATGTTCTCTAGACCTTTCATCACTTTTGTTGTTCTTCTCTGGACCCTCTCCAATTTCTCCACATCTTTCTTGAAATGTGGTACCCAGAAGTGGACACAAGACTCCATCTGAGGCCTAACTAGTGCAGAGTAGAGCGGAAGAATGACTTCTCGTGTCCTGCTCACAACACTCCTGTGAATGCTGCCCAGAATCATGTTTGATTAAATCACGTAATTTAATTCTTGAGTTATGTTAGTGAGGAGTAACTAACGTTTCCTTAGTCTATTTTCCGGCACCATTCATGATTTTCTAGACCTCTAACATATCCCCCCTCCCCCCCCCACTCTTTAGTCATTTCTTTTCCAAGCTGAAAAGACCCAGTCTTGTTAATTTCTCCCCATATGGAAGCTATTCCTTACCCCTCGGCATTTCTGTTGCCCTTTCTGTGCCTTCTCCAAATCCAACAGATCTTTTTTCAGATGAGGTGACCAGATCTCACACAGTATTCAAGATGTGGGCACACCATGACTTTATATAGAGGTAATACGACATTTTCTGTCTTATCTGTTCCTTACCTAGAGATTCCCAATATTCTGTTAGGTTTTTAGTTTTTACACCGCCACTGCTCATTGAGTGAATGTTTTCAGTGAATTAGCCATAAGGATTCCAAGATCTCTTCCCTGAGTGGTAACAGCGATTTTAGAGCCATCATTTTTGTATGTCTAGTTGGGATTATATTTTAATATGGGCATTACTTTGCACTCATCAACACTGAATTCTGTCTGCCTTAGTGTTTCCCAGTCACCCAGATCTGTGGGATCCATTTGTAACTCTTTGCAGTCGGCTTTGGATTTAACTATTTTGAATAATTTTGTCACATCTGCAAATGTTGCCACCTCGTGGCCTCGCCCTTTTCAGAGAACATTGAGAAGCTGAACAGGACTGGTCCAAATTCAAATCCCAGCAGCACAACACTCCTCGCTCTGTTTTCTCCTGTCTTTCAAGTGGCAAGCCCAGCAATGCTTTCATGATGCTCTAAGGACCCGTCAGTGACTGGACGCCTGGCCTGCTAGTCTTGATCACCTGCCCTTTCCTCTGCTTATAACAAACTCCCTGCCCCCAAGGCAAAGCTGCCTTGGAGCCGGGCCTGCATCCTGAAGCAGACCTCTAGTATGAAATCCAGGGATTCAAACTTTGGGCAGGGGGCCTATGGCCCCAGCCCCCCTGAATGGTGCCCTTGGGTAAGCTCAGCCAGGCCGATCCCCTGGGGAACCTTCTCTAGCTGCACCTGCTGCCAGCGGCGCTGGCCTTTCT